AACAACTGTGTTAGAAGTGGTAATATAATTGACTTAACAACTGTAATTCTACCAATAGGAGTTAACTCCCTCCTATTCCAATACTTTATGCAATTTTCTATTTTCTTAAATTTTTCTGTGAAATTAATATCTACCATTTTTTCTAAATCTACATGAAAATTTATACCGAGCAATTTAAAAGCTCTGCCACCCCAGTTTAGTTTCCACTTTGTTTTAATAGATCTAGTACTGTATTTGTTTAAGCCTATCCATATAACATGTGTTTTTTCAAAATTTACCTTAAGTCCAGAATATTTAGAAAATGTATAGAGGGTATCTAAGGTGTTATTCAAAGAAGCTTCTGAACCATCTAATAAAAGAGAAGTGTCATCAGCGAACTGAGATACTTTATATTCCACATCATTTATATTGATTCCTTTAATATCTTTAGAGTTTCTTATCTTAATTGCTAGTATTTCAGCACACAAAATAAAGACATACGGACTTATGGGGTCTCCTTGACGACAGCCTCTCCCTATTTCGAAGAAGTCAGAGAGAAATCCATTTAACTGTACAGCTGTTTTTACATTTTTCATAAAAAGAGATATCCATTGTTTAAACATTGGACCAAAATTGAAGAAAGAGAGTGTGTTTTTTATGAAATTAAAAGACAAGGTATCAAAAGCTTTTTCAAAATCTATCATCAATAGCATTCCAGGAATCTTATGTTTTTCTGTGTAGTTCATGACATCATATAATAAACGTATGTTCTCACCAATAAATCTACCTTTTATAAAACCAGTTTGATCAGAAGAAATTAATGAGTCTAAAACTGTTTTTAACCTATTGGCTATTGATCCTGACGCTAATTTATAAACAACATTTAAAAGGGTAATTGGTCGCCAGTTTTTTAAAAATTGTCTAGGCTTGTTATCTTTTGGAATGCAAGTAATAATTCCTTGCTTCTGAGTCACTGACAATTCTTCATTTCTAAATCCATAATTTATTGCTCTCAAAAACAAAATGACCAATTTTTGACCAGAAAACTTTATAAAAATCAGCTGTAAAACCGTCTGAGCCTGGACTTTTGTCATTTTTCATATTTTTTAAAGTGTTTGACAGTTCAGAGAAAGATAGGAGTCCTTCTAGACTATTTGATTGTTCTCTTGATAATTTGTATATATCATTTGTATTGTCAAGAAAATCATTAATATTTTTTTCCCCAATAACATCAGCATTACTATATAAATTGCTGTAAAATTTTTCAGTCTCATTTAATATTGATTTTTGGTCATAGATAAAAGACCCATCTATATTTTGTAGGTATGGAATTATTTTACTAGCATAATTATATTTTTCTAAATTACAAAAAAAAATTACTTGGTTTTTCCCCCTCATCTATCCATTGTGCTCTTGATCTTATCATATGACCCCTTATTTTCTCAGTTCTTATACTTTCCAGTTTTGAATGTAAATCAGATAAAGTTTTCTTATTTTCTTCATTTATATTTGTCTCTATGTCTTGAATTTTGGAGAGGAGACTGTTTTCTTCAGAATTTCTTTTTTTGGTTTTGTAACTAGAAAAAGAAAAAGAAAAAAACTTAGTTAAATTAGTATTACATGCAATAATTCTCTTTAAAACCGATTTGAATTTCTTCTATATTTCTGTTATGCTATGCACGCAGATAGCGCATGCACGGGAAAATACTACTTCCGATCGATTTTTCATAGCAACGGACCGCGTCGTAAAAAGGTCTATACATATATATACATTGTATGTCGCATTATTTATAAAACTTGAACTTCAAGTACTACAACAGATCTGGCATTCGGATGGTTAAAACAATAATTTAAGATTACGTAGAAGATACAAATTTTATTTCCTGTAATTGCACATTATGTACATTGTAAAATGAATATGTATTGTTTATAAATCCATCAAATGTTGTCATGGAATACATGTCATAATAATTTTAATAAACTGGAAAGAATGATGATCCATCGGAAGCATCGAAAACAATGATTTGATATGTTTGATTTAAAGGCACGCTGATAAATCATTAATATAAAAAATTCATTTCAACACTTTCATTTGTTGAGTTGTTGAAAATTGAGTAAAGCTCAAGTCGGTGCTAAAAAGTATGATGGATATTGCACTTTTTGCATTATTCTTTATGTTCAGACTCAATATAACCGAGTCTGCAATTTTCATGTAATTTTATTGTGGTTGTGGTTGGTGCTTCCAAGGGATTACACTTTAACAAAAGTTTTGGTTAATAACAATTTTTTGTATTTGTATAATAAAATGTTATATTAAATAAGACAAGTGAGTTCGGATATATCCACAACCTATTATTGAATCTATAAAGCAAACACAAACTATTTTATAAACGCATGCCAATATTTAGGTGTACAACAAAGCAGATATTCTTACTTAATAACAGTGATATAAGGAAACAGCCTGCATCTCGAAGATAAAACGTGTTGAATAAATTCTAAAATAGACATGCAAAGGTATCCAACGTACTACAAAGTTAACAGTAAAGTCATGTATGTATGAACACTCAATATATTGTTTTCGAATAGAAAACACTGATACATATTGTTCGATTGTGAGTCGGACATCACTCAGAGAAGTTATCTCTGACACACTTCGCAATATTCGTGAATGGCCTTGTCCGAGAATGCAATGACCGAGGACTTGGCCTGAACAAGACTATGTCTATATAACTGTACTCGGACCACATTGCTTGTAACAAGTTTAGATACAATTCATGTAGTTTAAAGCTAACAGTTTAAAATATTTTTCAAAGTAAGGTATTAGGACATGAACAAAGAAAATACTTCACACATTGTTAACAATATAGGAAAATTACCAAAAGTGGTACATTAATTCAAAAAATGTTTTTACTGTGTTACGAGCTAAACGCAACAGAGAAGATAACGCAGCAACACATTTTACAATTTTTAATTAAAGAAAAACAGTTTATTAATAATATAAAGAAAATATGAAAGTAAAGTTTAACTCACAATTATCCACAATTCAAATTTAATAAATGGCTTAAAGTTTGACTCACAGTTCGAAATTCTATTGTCCACAACACAAATTTAATCAATGTACAATGTCAACAGCAGATTATAACTATATGTCCAAAATGTCCATTATGTCGCACACAGATTAACAGACTCCAAACTTTTATATTACTATGTTAGCAGAACAAAAGCACAGGATAAGTATATCAACATCACACAATATCACAAATTAGCACACACCTCGAAGTAGAAAAAACCAAAACATTCATCATATTTATTATACTATCCAATGAACAATTTCTAGAATACCTTAACTACTTAGAAGAAGAGAATATTTCCAGAAATGAAACATGAAAAACTTTCTTGGAAAAGAAAATGAATGAACATGAAAAAAAATATAAACATCAAACATGAACAAAATAATCAAAAAATAAGCTGGCATGAGTAGGGATCGAACCCACGACATCGAGATTATCAGTCTTGCGCTCTACCTACTGGCCAATTCACGAAATAGATACTAAACACATTTAATATAATGCATATATACATAACAACTGTGCTAGTCAAAAAGTAGAAAAATATTACACATACTTCAAAATTAATCATTAATCGCATACAACATTAGCTATTGAGTATTTTTACTGTTGTTAGAATGTTTGAACATTTTTCGCATGTTTGATTTTCATTAAATAATATGGGTCGTCTGGAGGTATGCATTTTTTTAGTCAAATCATATGATAAAGAGTCTCAATCGATGGAAACAATTTACACCAAAATATTTACGTTTCATATCAGGTATTAACACTGAATTGTTTTATTAAGATTAATGTTTATTTTTTTTTTAATTCAGTTATTTACTAGCAGTCCACTAAATGTATTGAACCAATATGTGTTTTGATATAACTGGCGGTTGGAAGCTGACGATGTTGATTTGACCCAAACCTTTTCTCCTGATTTTACTCTTACTATTGCACCAAATGTATTACAGCCATGAGAAGCATCCCCAAAAGTTGCTTTGGGTGAAATTTATTTTACCTTCCATCGCCGGGCCAAAAAAAGGGGAATTTTTTCCCTTTTACAGCAAGGTATGAACAAAAAACGGGTACATTTCCTTTCCAACAGGTCCGTGAACAACCCGTGGGTGTCGAAACCCGGGGTTCTTTTCTTTTTGGGGAATGTCTTTCAAAATTTTAGTATCTCATTCGAGTTTTTTTTCAAGAAGCTTTGTTTTTAAAATGGGTTGTGCTTTGGGTTTTATTTATTTCCTGGTATAAAATTTAAATTTTGGTTTTAATTCTAAGTTATAAACCAAGGGGGGCATTCAGGGAAAAATTTATAGAAATTTTTTTTTGGGGAGTGTTTATATGTGGATATATTACCTGTTAAGATTGTATATCACCCGAGCCGTTAGGCGAGGGTGATATTTTATCTTGGCAGGTAATATATCCACATATATCACTCCAAAACCAAAATAATAATTTTATTACCCTTCCCCTGCCGAGTTTAGACGATTTTTTTAAAAAATCATTGCTGTTTCAAATGAAACGTCGAAATAAGATTCCCTTTAGGATACCTCTCCGTCACAACATGACGTCACATAAATTACATGACGTTTTTTCCCGTACCTTACGAAAGTAAACAAGAGAAAAGGAGTAGACTATTGAACGCACTTTTTTTTTAATTAATATCAAGCTTTCACAAGGTCATATTGTTTTCGATACTGATGGTAATATGTATCATTACTCTACTTTGGGTAAATATTTGAGTCATTTGTCAGTTAAAATGTGCTTTTTAATTGGATTTTACACTGCGTAAAATCGAACCGTACGCGCATCACCTCAGCGCATGTTGTTGACAACGTTGGGTACCAAACGGGGAAATTTAGTGTGTATATTACCCGTCTGGCTCGGTTATATCAATTTCTTACGGGTGATCAATATCCAATCAAAAAGGCGGAAAAAATCTGGAAGGGTAATAAAACCTTATATTAATATCAGGCTTATATATGTAGTTTAAATAATTCAAATAATTAAAAACTAGAATGTGTTAATGTAAACAAAATCATCTGGACGTCTTATGAGAGTTAGGAATTTACATACTGAGCAACATACTATCATATCAACATAGTTTGTTATATATTTTTGACCACGTGATATACCAAGATAAAACATGACTCAAGTACGCAGCAATTTATTTTACTATGATCCGCTGTAGATAAAAAGAAATAAAACACAATTGATATATAATAGGTAACAATACCTTGGGGTTTGATAAGTTTCTCTTTTTCAGCTTCGATGTCATTAGTCAGGTTTTCTCTTGTTTCCTCAAATAATGTTTTGAACGATTCTGAAATAAAGTATGAAAACTCTATTAACTAATATCTTACCAAAGTTTAAGGGTATTCAGTACTTAGCATCCTATAATTTAAGTGGCTTTAATTTCGGTCTCCCTGTAAAGCATGTAGCGTTTATTATCTTAATATCATTCATTACATGCTCTGGAAATTGTTTAAAATAATTAATTTAAATTTTAGGCATATCTGTCATTTTTGTAGAAACTGGTATATTAAATGCCATTTTTAGCGACATAAATAGTTTTATATGTTGTATATATAGTTTACATATACACGTAGATATTTATTGCAGAAATATTTTGTATGTACTTTTTTCTCGCACTTCAAATTAACGAATCAATAAAAAATATTATTAAGATATATTTTCATCTATATAACAAACAATAATTACAAAACTATACATTATTTGAAACATGCACAAAGTATAAATTATTAAAACTGTTTCGATTAACATGTTACATATACACCTCCTGAAAGGGAAGGTAGCCATTTCGAAGCTAGGTTTTTTTTAGTACAATGATTTAAGTACATCATTACGAGAAGCACCAATTGAATTGTGCTATATAACTGGCTGGGTAGAAAAGTAAAATGACATTTTATTTACACAATCATAAAACAATGTAATAATTTAAGCTGAAACCAGCCAATATACCTTATATACAATATGTGCAAGAGGGGTGTGTATACAAAAGCTGTAATTAAGTATATATTTCACGAGAAATTTCCAAGAAATAAATCTCACAAGCTTTACTGTTACGCTTGGGGGAGTAACTCAATTAACGTAAAGATTTTAAATTCATTATTAAGCTCCCTTGACCGAGACACCATCAAAAAACAATAGTTTGTATAAAATCATTTTAAACATAACGTTTAAAAGTTTTAATATGCTGTAAGAAATATATGTTTGATTTGATATATTTTTTATTTTACCTTCTCTCCTTTTTATCTCATCGCCTCTCTTTATCATCTCGTCCGTTATGTTCCCTCTCATATCTGCAAACATGTCCGTAAAGTCAGCTACTGCTCGTTTAATGAAGCCTAATGTACTGATGACATTATCCTCAGTTTTCTTAATTTCATTTACCATTGTTTCTACCTTAATTTCAGTTCTTATCATTTTCTCTAAAAGCTGTTCCTCATATGCAAATTTTGAACATACAGGCTCTTTAGCCTCAGAAAAATTATAACTATATATTCCAACGACAATAACAAACACAAATAATAATGAGAACCTCATTTTCATGATAACAATTGCAACATAATCTGAGAAGCTTTCAGGATTGAACCATGTGAGAGAAACTGCTGTATTTATTCAAAGAAAATATGTCAGTTTGAAAATGAGGCCCGTATATCAAAGGCATTCTGAAGAGGAATAGAATTTCACTACCACTACTTGAGTCATACAGTTCACGGACCTTTATGCATTAAAAGAAAAAAACAGATATAATTAAATATCTTTATTGAGTGGGCGTAATTTGTTTAAAACAATGCTGAGTTGATATTGCGATCTTTTTTTTGTATTCTATTACAACCGTTCATGCTTTGACTATAATAGACCATTTCTCTTATTTTATTTATGTATGGCATGCGACCATTGTTACACATTGGTAGCAGCTGAAAACTTGTGGTTGAGTCTTTACGCCAATTTACTGAAGTATCTGATTTGTTCCCGTTGTTATTCGTATAAATTTCTTGACAAAATATATAGCTATCATTAAACGATCTTTTTCATCTCTTTAACAACCCTGCCAGACATGACCTTAGCAGCGCATTTATGACATGAAAAAAACATACTTGGCTTGTTCATATTATGTTTATCCAACCAGTTTGGTCAATCAATTATTATTGCTCCAGCCAAACATCAAGCGTCAATTATATTTTTGATAAAACAGTTTTATTTTAAAGCCTTTCACGTTTGATTTATTTGAACCTATCAGTACTATACAATTTTGAACAATTAATATTGCTAGATTCTTAAAGGTTTTGTAGCCATATAAAAATTAAATACCTTTTTTGAAAAGTCTTTGCATTATTGAAAATTACTTAGTCCGGACCTTATGTTTAAAAGAAACAGTGAACATATGTCTGTAAAATGTTACCTACGCTAATAATCAGTATTTGTTAGTTCAGTAAGATAATAAGGCTTATATTTTCAAGTTAATATCTGCATCTTAAACGCGATAATAAATAATTATGAATGATTAATTGGTGTTAAGTTGTGCGCCAAGATAAATCAGTGCACTAAACAGATGGCAAGGTTATTAGATTTCAATTTCTTAGTCATTGTATGGAATTCAAGCGTTCATTTTATCTAGGAAGATTATGAACAGCTGTGAAAATTTAGTTCATAGAGATTCGTGCGTCAATTTCGTGATATGTGAACTTCAATACGAAGTCGGATAAGAACGTTTTTATTTATTTAACCTTTTATTTTCTGTTTAAAGGTTTGTATATTATGTATATAAATAGAAAGGTCATATGTTTGATCGCTGGATAATTTGCATCAAAATATGAGTCATTTACATTTTTTTGCATCACGTGTGTGTTTTGTTTCTTTTGCATATATTATCTAATTACTTAAAGGCAAATTAAACATTTGAAACGTATAAATTCTTATCTCTTTTAGAAACGACTTACAAGAGTTTAATGGCGTTCAAATACTGGTTTTAGAGTATGTTAAATGTTTCTTAACAAGAAGGAATTTGAGGTGAATGAGAACTTTTTGTCATAACAGTAGGTAAGTATGTAAAGAAAGTAGTATTAGACTTCGATACAAAATACTAAATATTTATGTCTGTAATAATTACCAAAAGCAGCAGAAGCAAAAGATTGCTCCGATGATTGACAGCATGTAGCTATGTTTGAAATTATATCAGGACACAAAAAATTTAAAGGTTTTAGAAAATAAAAATATGTCTGGGGTGTAATGGGCCTTTAAAGCAAATAAAATTAAGTAAATTATCATATTTTTTTTAAGTATTCCCGTTATTTTTGCCGTAATATTGATAGCTTCTTGCACGTTTGTTAAACATGCGTAATCTATTTCTTTACAATACTTCGCTAAAAGCAAATCTCACCAAATGTTATATAACATAATTTCATACAAACTTGTTATGTTAATACCTTTATGTATAGACAGTCTGAAAGTTCTAACAGATTTTTAAATTGAATGCATGTCTTCCTTTTGCATTTACGTATTTCTTTTATTAACCAATGAGCTGTTTACAACATGATACTTATTTGATATTGATGCAAACATTTTACTCACTCACTGAGTTCAGTAGGCTATAAAATTTGATAGATAAACAAATCTAAGACCTAATGACGTGCATGTGACCAAATTCAAATTATTTTATATATTTGGTAAGAAGATATAATATCATATTAAAACCGGATTCCATATGAAGGCTTTCTAACAATAGAGTGTCTAACAATCTTTTTAAGTCCTATATTACAGCATTATCTTCACTTTTATTTTTACTTTCTGTAATTCAAAACATTCCCTATGAATTATTTTAAGACTAGGTGAGTGAAAAAAATAATGCACATTCGTCAAAATTTGAGCGTTTGGGTGTGAACACTTAATATTCAAAGTAACTTTATGCTCATTTTGCTCTTTTTGAGAAATTAATAATAATTTCAAAAAATTGACTATTACTAGGTGATTGACCAATAATTGACATTGAGAAAATGTTTATTATACATTATAAAAAAGAAATTATACTACCCACACTTTTTAAATATTAAACCTTATCGATATATTTCAAACGATGCTTATAGAAATTTCCGTTGGTTACATGGAATATTGATTTTATTATTCATAGGAAAATATAAAATTGAACACAATTATGACAAAATGTCAAGTTATTTTGATTTTTACCTGTTCACTGACCATTAACGCTTGGAAACGTATTTTATGTTTTTCCCCATTTGAAAATTACTTTTTTGTAAAAAGAAAACTTATTGTAGATTGTAAATTTAAAGATTTGCATATTAAGAGATCAATCGGACAGATAATAATATTGCTAACTCTGTTTTCGAATTTTAATTGGTTGGCACACTGTTTGATAGCATTCCTGTATGAACCACCTGCGAGTTATTCCCTTATGCCCCCGGTGCTTACCTCCCTAGGTTTTGTTTTCTAAGTTGAAACTATGGTGGCCATTTGTCGCTTCAGCTTCAATACTTTATTGATTAAGCATTTAAACTGTTTAATCCTTTCAATACATAACTCATTTTGCGATATGTGTATTTACATTTTAAATAATTGTTATTTACCAATTGTGTTTTTTTCTTTGTTTACACTTTATAAGGCTATTGAAATTATTGGCCAAGACTGAAAACTAATTTTTTTATGCTGAAGAAAGTGTTAATCTGTTTACACATGTTAGAAAATGTCATTGGCCTGTAGACAATAAACTATCCCGTTCTTCACAGAAAAAAATAATGAATGTATTATACTGTAGATGTTTCTTAACCCACATCTTAAATTTTTGTATAAAAAATGCTGAAATAGAGAAAATAATAATTCCTAAAGAAAGTCTAAAACGGCAAAAATTGAAAATGTTGCAGGCTCGGTGTGAATGAGCCTGTTCATGGACGGTTCTATTTAATGCAAACTACCGTCCACGCCCCCTTAGCACCGGCCGAATTGAACATTAATATGAAATTGCAAAATTTTGAATTTTGAAACATCCACAGATATGTTCATACGGCGGTTATCATGGAACCTTCAATATGACACTTCCGTGCCATTCCATGAAAAACGGCGTATGGTCCCCAAAATATACAAAGCGTGTGCCCTAAACGAAAAAAGAAAACAATGGGTGGAACTAAACAAATGGACTTTTGAAAGGGGATCAGAGGTAATAAAGCCTGCATATCACAGATAAGATGTCAAAAGACAAAGTAAAAAAGCAGGCAACATATCCTAAGGACGATTCAACATTATTCAAGTATTCAAATAGGAATATTGCTAAATCATAAGAAAGTAGATAAAGGCAATATTCGTGTTCTGCTTTGATTCAGTGTCATATAGATAATACCTGATCTTCTTGAACACAAGTCCAACAAGATATTTAAGGAAGATGAAATTGTTAGATTTATTCATAATCTTGTTCCAAAAGAAAGCATTAGACAGACTAACTATTAAATGTTGACAATAGAAAAAAACAACTTGTACTGGACCATGCCTTTAATTTTTTAAACATAAATATCCATCATAAAAAGAGAAATGTGGTGTACTCTAAAGAATTCATTCATATTCAACAGCGACTAATACATACAATACTTGAAAGGCCGAATGCTTTAATAGGGAAAATGTTACAATGATACTACATTGTAATAGGGAATTTACATGCATGCATAACCTGCTAAGATAAAAAAAAGTGACATCAAAGGTAATAAATAAGGCTTAAAAGTAATATTAATCTTGAAAAGATTTCTTTACGCTATCTATAAATATGTTCGTCAATTACTATTTATTGTCAAAAGGATCTCTAGTTATCCATAAATCACATTCATACATTACAGAAATATCAATATCATAATTTTCAAATTTTAAGATTATTTGATATTTTTTGTTCTTATCAAGGTTTTAAGGGTATAGTTACATGTGTAATTGACTAGGTATAATTGATGGATCTTATTCGAAATAAGCCTTTGGCTTTCTGGGCAGTCCACTGTTTTGAACAATATACATGTGATTTGTTGCATTTCAAGTATTTACAATGAACAATTAATTTTATAGTACTTTAAAGAACTTTGCTTTCTGAATTTCTGTGATTTTTAATTTGTTGTCTTAGCAAAGTTACAACCTATGACATATTTGCATGTATATGATTAAATGTATAGTTTTGTGTGTAGTTAGTGCTAATTAGCTTTTTAAAAAAATGAAATTAACAAAATAAGATAATATGTACAATACATGATAAGAATAATGTATATCGATAAATTGAATTTCCGTATGGTAACATGTAAAAAAAGTTTTGTTTAGTTAACCTTTTGGTAATCTGAAAAATATTTTATATTCCATCTATATCATAAATTTATCATATAAGTTCCTAACGGAGTATACGGGAAACTAAGATCTATATAAGCCGTGTCGCTACCTAAAAAAAAGTTAATATAAGCCACGGTCAAAACCCAGACGCAATACAATGTGCGATATTTGAAATTGATATACAAAACTCAGTTATTGAAGATATTTTTACCAATAACATGCAAAGGCACACAGGTATAAAGAGATACAGAATCTATAATATAATTTTAAAATAGAGAAAAACAGAATCCCTAAAGAAAGCCAAATACGGCAAATTTGAAAATGTTGCAGGCTCTGTTTGATTGAGCCTGTTCATGTAAGACCATATATCAAAATATTTGAATTTTCTTTTAAACAATAGTCGTCAACCCAAGCTTGGGAGTTGAAATAACGGCCATGGCAAGTTTTCCCTTTTTTTACCAAGATAACATTCTTAACACTAAAAATAGAAAAAAAAATGTACTGGTGAAAAGCAATTAGTACAGTTAGACATGGGTGTGTTTTATAACCGGTAATTAGCCTGCGATTGAATGCAACTGTGGCAGTTAAGGTAGAACGCGACACTTTGCGAACTTTCGAGTAGCGTCTTGAAATTTGGCATGCAAAAAATTGACCATATTTCATTTCTGATTAGGTTTTGATGATTTTATTTCAATATTTTCAGCCAATTTTTGTACACATGGCGTCAATGTTGACCAATAAAGCCCGTTTTTGAACATGACGTCGTTGCGTGTCCTTGGCAACTGTTACGGGTATTTCAACGTCGTTGGCGGACAAAATATCTTACATTCTAAAGCATTCGACGGAAATAAAAACTTATTTGGCGACGATGATATTATTGTAGCGTTTATACTAGTTTAACATGTCATATAATACGTTTTTACAATGTGCAATTGTAGGTCGGATATCGGAATGTCTACTTCAGTCAATATAAGATTTTTATCAATAGATAAATCAAACAAACATCATCCTTCTATACAAATTGATCCTATTACAAGCTCTGGAGGATGTAAGACGTAAAAGACAAAACCTTAACATCACATTTATACTTTATGAAAACAAGATTAATCGTTCTGCTTTCCTATTTCTTTATTGTTATAATGGCCATTGATTTAAGAGCTGACATATTACATTGTTCTATATATAAAGTGTCATTACAAAGCTTATAAGAATCACCGCACTGTTATTTTTTGTGCGATGTTATACTGGTTTCCTAGCAGTTTTCGGTCCCAAATCGCTCTTTTTTACAAATATAATAAGAATCTGTGAACGGGAGTGCACAAACCTTTGATAAAACATATGTACCTACCTGTCAAGCATTCCCTAGTTTTCAATGTTGCTCTAATAGTCTACTTTTTAGTTGACATAGGGCAATTTTATCCAGAAAATAAATTGCTCCAACTTTTTCCGTATCGCCTACAAGTGTATTTATTATTCAAAAATACTGATATACATTTATTTGGAATTCGGTTACAATTATTGCGCACGCGTATTCAAATTCGAATTCCCCAGATGTTGCTTATTTTTATATGTAGGAAGTGTTCTTAGGTAACTTTAAACGACAGGCAAATCTTCAAAATACATAAACTGCTGTACTATTGTATTTGCTGCGTTGCCTAGAAAACAAACGTCTTCCTGATTCTAGATGAAATAAAACATGTGCTTTTTAGTAAAAATAGACCTTGGCAGATATGATAAACGACCGGACAACTGCTAGGGTCCGGAAACTACAAGTAAACCAGTAAAGAGTGTTAAAATATATCGTAATGTACATTTGTGAATTGAACGAACTATACATGATGAATGTATTTATATATTTCAGGTAAGTCTGTTAATAAAACCTATCGTATGGCATTCTTTGCTGGCCTGGGCGAAAACAAGGGTCAGATAGAAGAAAACATTGATCTTGTTTTCGATAAGGTTCACACAAATGTTGGAGATGCCTATGATAAACAAACTGGAAGAGTCACTATTCCTTTCTCTGGATTGTATCATTTTACAGTCGTGATTGCTGCCCAGGGGGGACAAAAGGTATAGAATTTCCTTGATGACGTCATTAATGACGTCAGTTTAATAACATCAAAGTACAAATACGAAACGAATCGAATTTTAAAAGATATACTGTGCTCAAATTTGATATTGAAAAATATTGATAATTGCAACACGGTCTCTTTGTAAATACATGTATAAATAAACATGTTTGACTACACACAAAGCAGACATGTTACATTGAAAATTCTACACAATATAGATCTAGGTGGTTACAATATGAATGTGTACATGTATATGATAACATAATTACCAAAGTAATGCAAAATGTAGATTCAAACACAGAAATTTATATCCAGTTTAAGAATGTAACTTAAATTGAGGATATTGAATGAGTGTAAGTTCTATACTGAATTTATTGCACGAGTTGAATAAAATTATATTATGCGAGACTCTGGCGAGCATAATATTATTTTGTTAAACGAGTGCAATAAAGTCAGTAATGAACTTACACGAATCTAATATTCTATTTATCACATACCCAAAAAAGACCGTTTAATGTGAAATAAGAGTCATTTTTCATTGACGCGCCTAAAGTATAACGCTAACATTTAGCGCGTCTTTACACTATGTTTATATAACGCTAATGACGTCACGTCAATATATATGCACGGCCGTGCAATACCATTTTTACGGAGTCGCAAAATCGGCACGGGTGTGTGATAAGTGTATATATTTCATTCATTACGAAATTTAATTGTCCCTTTAATGCATGTTAAGTATACAATTACATTGTGTCAGTCTTACAAAAAGATACCGCCTTTTAAACATTGATTACCATATATACGAAGAAGGTGAATATCTAAAAATGTTGATTTGTTAATAATGTTTTCATTTGTAGGCTGCTGCAATGTTGATGAACAACGGAACGATGGTGGACACAATATGGGCAGAGAGTATACCGTTGTGGGCGACGTCGTCAAACACCGCCATATTGAATCTAACATCCGGGGACCAGGTCTGGCTCGTACTTCTAAAGATTGCGCCATATATCCATGGTTACATGTATTCGTCTTTTTTCTGGGTATTCATTATTTGACACAGAAAATGAAGAAAACGAAGCACCACAAGACGATGATAAAATTAATGGAAAGTCTTAAGTTAGTAAAAATTGTAAAAAGTTTGCTTTTAAAAGTAAAGTTCGATATACAAAAAGAACATTGATCTTTTTTTATTATGCAAGAAAAAAAGAAAATAAATTCATGTTATCATAAGATTTTATTATTTGAACAACGTTTCTGAAGAAAGAAAATATAAGAAGAAAAAATACCATTAAACGGAAAAATATATTTTCAATTGTAGAAAACGTCACCGCTTTTATTAAAATATATACAAATAAGGCTTTGTTTATTTTTTGTATAAATATCGACATTAGCAATATCAAAGGACATTAATGAAATAAAAATCATTAAAACGTCAAACGGCAAAAGGCAACATGCAAAAACAGAACAACGCAATTCACATTATGTACATACAGTAACAATGGGATTTGAATATTGAAAAGGAATTGTGAAACAGTAAGACCGAACTGCACACAAATCAGACATTAAGAAGCATATTTTCAAAATGATTGTGATAACTGTATGAATAAATACAAGGAACAATACATTTATAAACTACAGATATGGTGTTTGTATTATCTATATATTAATTATGTTTTCCTTGAAATTACTTTGACATCAACAGTTTGTATCAATTAACATCTGCTACGTACCCCTTGGATATTGTCTATCACAGGAAAATATTATGTTAAAAATATTGTTTTGTGGAATTTTCACAAGAAAATAAGATCTTAGGAAGGTTGAGTGTCAGAAATAATTGACGACTTGTATCAGCATATATATTGTTTCTGGCCAGTTTAACAACTATTAGTTTCTAAAGTCAGACTATGATATATTATGGTGAATTGGTTTTTGGGGTTTTCAGGTTTTCATTTATATTTTCTTTTGTTTCTATAAATGTTATGTATATATTAAAGGTTTTATTGTTTCTTTGATATTGTTTTTTTAATTATATATGTAGATGATGCAATAAATATTATAAATTAAGAAAGTCTTGTGTGTATTAAATCTAACTTATTATCAAGCAAAAGGTTGCAAACAAAAAGCGATTGATTAAATAGACAAGAAATTTGTTCGTAGAACTTGTGTGCCCCCATACTCCACTGTTCTATCAATCTACTGACTCTATGTCAATTTATTTTGGCTACACGTGACACACGTTGCAAATCTTTAACTAAATCAAGGGCAAAACCCCTACAAATACTGAATGAATACACAAACTAACCCCTGGGTGCATGACAACACATGCTGACCAACATTCTTGTATTTGTTTAGGACTAGAGTGCAAATATTATTTGAGCTATACATGAGCAAGTTTAATAAATTGCAAATATATACGAAGCCAAGGGCAGTAACTCTAACAAAAATGGAAAAATCGACACGCATAACCCCAGGTTCATAGCTTTACATGTTGAAAAACATTCCTGTAAAGTTGGTTGATTATAGCTCAAGCACACAAGGTACAATAGCATAGCATTTTTGAATGGTTTATCTGTAATGTGCAGGCTTCATAACCTCAGATTCTCTTTCAAAGTTCCATGTTATTTTGTTACGCACATTGTTTGTCGTTTAGGGCAAAATCGTTCTTTTACTTGGGGACCATACGCCGCTTTTCATGGAATGACACTACTGTGTCACATTTAACCGCGGTATGAACAAATCTGCGGATATTTCAAAATTCAAAATTTTACAAGTTCATGTTAAATTTGGAATTCTGCTTAATACGGTGCTAGGGGGTGTGGACGGTAGTTTGCACTTGACAGTACCGTCCATGAACAGACTCAATCAAACCGAGCCTGCAACATTTTCAATTACCCATGTTGGGATTTCTTTAGGGATTCTTATTTTCTCTATTTTATTTGCTTATAAGATACTAACATTAACTAATATTAACAATATGCAAACTAAAACATTGTATGAAAACTATTCGTCACAACATATAGACACATCATAGATAAATCGCCATTTTCGACTTATTTCGCAAAATACTACTGTTATTAAGAGCCTCAAGAAATGTATTGGAGCAGTTTTCATCAAAACGTTAACGTTAAACGTCTCCTTATAACACTGAAATCAGATTTTACTCCCATCTATGTTTAATGATTTTTTTATAATTCAGTAACTGACAAGTACTCCACTAAATGTGTTCATCCTATGAAAGTCTTGTTTAAGCTGGCGGTTAGAAGCTGACGATGTTGATTTGACCCAAACTTCTTCTCCCGATCTAACTCTTATTATTGCTCCAAAAGTATTGCAGCAATTAGAGTCATCACCATATTTAGCATCTGGTGCAATTACGTTACTTTTCAACACCAGGCCAAGATATGCATATCTCTGATGATAAGCACATGTATGAACAGAAAACTGGTACAGTCCTCCAACAGGTGCAGTGAACAATTCCGTGGACGTGTCGTAACCTATTCCCTCGTTCGTGAATGTCTTCTCGAATATGAGAATCTCATTTTAGGTATCAAGAACCAGATCTTTCACGTAATGTGCGTAGAAAGCGATCGGAGGTTGTTCGAGTTTTCCTGAGAATAGAAATAACATTTTTGTATTTTATATCTAAAATATCTAACTCAAGGGGCCTATGCAAGCAACAAAACCATATATTTATATTCGGCCAATATATGTAGAGTTTAAATAATTTAAATAATTAAAAACTAGAATGTGTGAATGTAAACAAAATTATCTGGACGTCTTATGACAGTCAGAAACTTACATATGGAGCAACAAATTAAAATATCAACATAGTTTGTCATATATTATTGACCACGTATTATACCAAGATGAAACATGTCAAGTAAACAACAATTTAATTTGCTGTGAATAGTAGATAAATAGAAATCAAACACAATTGATGTACAATAATTTATAATACCTTGGAGTTGAATAAGTTTCTCTTTTTCAGCCTCGATGTCACCAGTCAGGTTTATTCTTGTTTCCTCAAATAATGTTTTGAACGATTCTAAAATAAAGTATGAGAATTCTATGAACTAATCTAACCGAATTTCAAGGGTATTGTGTACATAACTTTTTTTTTGCTATAATTTCCATTGGAAGTAAACATGTAAAGAATGAATCGTTAATATCTCAATGGCATTCATTACATGCTCATGTTAATGTTTAAAAACAATGGAAATAGGCATATGCGTCATTTTTTTACAAACTGATACATTAAATGTTATTTATGTCACATAAATAGTTGTAAACATTGTATATAGTTTACAGATAGTTATATATTGCAGATATATAATGTTTTGTACTTCTTTTTTTCTATCACTTAAACTTAACAAATCAATAAATAATTATAAAGATATATTGATCCATATAACCAACAATTATAAATTAAACTATACATTATAAGAAACATGCACAACTTATAAAGTATATTTCTTATTTTATTAAAAATTTTTAGCTTAACATGTGTTATGCACCTCTTGAAAAGGTGCCATTAAAAAGCATTAATTTAAGTACATTATTACGAGAAGCAACAACACCAATTGAATTGCACTATATAATTGGCTATGTAGAACAGTAAAATAACATCCTATTTATACAATCATAAAACAATGTAGTAAATTAAACTCAACTAAGTCAATATACATTATATACAATATATACAAGAGGTCCTATACAAAAGCTGGAAGCAAGTAGTAAATCTCACAAGTTTGGAACTCTCACGCTAGGGGGGGGGGGTAACTCAATAAATATTATAGATTTTGAATTCATCATTTAGCTCCCGTGACTGAGACACCAAAAATATGCAATAGTTTGTATAAAAATCATTTTAAACTTAGCATTTAAAAGTTTAATATACTGTTATTTTGATGTGAAATAAATGTTTTATTATACCTTCTCTCCTTTTCATTTCATCACCTCTCTTTAACATCTCGTCCGTTATGTTTCCTCTTATCTTTTCTGCAAACATGTCCATAAAATCAGCAACTGTTTGTTTAATGACGCCTAATGTACGTATGACCTTATCCTCTGTTTTCTTAATTTCATTCACCAATGTCTCTACCTTTATTTCAGTCCTTATCATTTTCTCTAAAAGCTGTTCTTCATATGCAAATTTAGAACATACAGGCTCTCTAGCCTCAGTAAAATTATAACTATATATTCCAAAGACAATAACAAATGAACATAACAGTGAGACCCTCATTTTCATTGGGCAAGTTGTTACAAAATATCTCAGAAGCTTTCTTGATTGAAACCTTTTCGTGAAACTGTTGTATTTATTCAAGAAAACTTGGTGTGTTTGAAAATGAGGCCCGTATATGTATGCTATTATCATTAAGTTTTAGCACAAATGTAACGAAATCGCAATGCATTTGATTTTTTATATCACAAAAACTATTCCGAAGAGGTACAACAGTCAAAATATACACGGATTTTTATGCATTAACAGCAGTTACCATAACAGGCATAACAATTATTATGAACTAATAGACGCGACTCAGATTTCTTCAGAGTTGATATTGCGACCCCTTTTAATTGATATTATAATCATTGATGTTGATATACTAGAACATTTCTCTTATTTCATTTATTGTACGTATTTATACAATTAGTATGACATACGACCAGTGTAACACATTAGTAGAAAATTGGCTTGGCTTTTTTAATTATTTTTGGTCACTCTATTTATTTATTGCTCCTGCCCTGTATTTATCTATTTTAACAAAGTATGAAAAATATTTTTTTTATATAAACCATTTTCTTTTAAAGTTTGTATCGATTAACAAGAAACACTTCGATCTTCCTTTTGAGTTTTAATTATTTACACCTATCGGTACAATAAAATACAATTTTGAAGAACAACTGATGCTTCTTAAAAACTTTGTAACTAGCGCAGCACAGATATAACATTAATAAATAGTTTGCAATAAATTTAGCTTTATTGCAGACCCCTCCGTCGGGACCTTCTGTTATAGAAAACAGTGAACATCTGTCTATTAAATGTGATCTTCACTAA